ATGCTGATGCAACGTCGAATTTATTGCTAATACCTTGTTGTCTACAGGAGAGAGAATTATTCAATAATTATGAATTATGTTATTAGAAGAATTATATATAATAAATATCATCAGCAAGGTATCATTGTGACGTTGTCATATAATTGCTGTTCTTTTGATGGGAATAATTTGTAAAACATAATGAAGATGAATGCCAATAATATTTATGAATGATGTTTGGCATTATTAGTATTATGACGAATACTAATATTATTAGTATTATGACGAATACTAATAGTAGTAGTTTATTGTAAAGTTGTAAATTTATTGTTAAATAAACATGGTAAAACAAAAAATTACCATATATAATATCAAGTGCATATATATCACACAAATGATAAATATATTACCATAAATAAATTGGTATTACTGTATGTAAACTAATTGATATACCATATGTAAATTAATATAAAATATAGTAATGTATGATCATATATAATATACTATCACATACAAATTATAATATAATGAGAAAGAACTAAAGGTTCTTTGAACTTTTTGTTTTTCAGTTTCTGAACTTAACACCGCTCACGCTGTCTTTATAAACATTTACTTTCTCTGATCAATTTTCCTTAAAGTAATAACTCGCAATCACTAATGAACTTTCCTCAATCTAAAATCGCAAATGTGTTGTGAATTTTGCGCACTTTGTGCAAAGTAACACTCGTATTTGCTACTCGACAAATAATTACACCTAACCAACGTTGACGTCTGATTTGCTATTCCGGAATCCCGCAATTGTCTGGAACTTGGCGTACCTGGCATTATTTTATTTTCCCGCTCTCGCCAAATGAAACGTAGACAGGGGAACAGCACGACGGTGAACGGATCGCAAGAAAAGCAAAAGAATATGATCCATGTTACATGAAGTCATCGTGCAGGAAACGTGCACAGATCCCTTTAGCAAAAACAAGTTAACAGCGGGCATTGAAATCCAAAAGAAATTCTTGTTACCTGCCTTCCACCGGCACGATCTGAATTTGTCAAACGAATGAATGGGAAACAATCGATTTCTCTTCTTTAGAACGCTTTCGATTTCTCTTCTTTAGAAGCGGAAGAAGTTTGTTTATTCAAAATCTGAACACAACATTAGATTAATGACAGGTCTCAGGTCCTCTGCGTATATTCTTGGAAACGACATTTCTACAGTTTTATGAATGTAAAGTTATGAAATTGTAAAAATAATTTTAAGAAATTCCGTAACGACATCTACGTATTAGTAGAATTTACAACTGAGCGAGTTTATAATTCTTGGAGTCGGCGAGTGAACTTTCACTCCGACCAGAAGAAGCGACGCAATTACGTAATCAAAAACGTGACGGATCAAAGCAATTAATTATAGCCATTGTTCGAGAGAACTCCTACGGAGTCGAGCATCGCTTGTAAACAAGAAAATGATTATTTGCTACCTTCGGAAAACACTCGCTACGACCCGCGTTCGTTTCTCGTTCGCTAACTTCTCGGTTCCTTCCTTTTGCGTAACGGTAATAATTAGCATTAGTTTCATTTGTGTTAGTTCGAACGAGGAACGAGTTTCCATCAACTCCGGCTTGTTTGACAGACACGAACAAGGATTCAAGATAAAATCGAAACTTTACTAACTCTCTGAAAAACGGACGAATCACAAAGAGGTTGAGAGGGTGAAATGAACAAGGGAAGGTTTTAAAATTTTTCAAATAATAATGGATCTTTATTTTCTTTTACGTTCTTTATAAAATTTGTAAGGCTCGGTGTCCATCACGTCGTCCCTCTCGATAATGTCCTGTCTCTTGTATTTATTCACGGGCACGTTCACCACTTCGTAGCTTGTCCCGGAGTGACTCTGAGCAACCTTCTTCAACCCCACGATAGCTGCCAAGATCAAGCTCATCAAGCTCAAGACGACTGCCTTGCCGCTTAATATAGCCAAAGTTTTCAACGCTATAGGCAATAGAATCGACTTGATCAACATAACCCCTATGATCAGAGGGATGATGTATTTGTTCAACTTGTGCTTCTTCTTCTTGCGAGCTGCAACAAAGTGAGACAATTAGATTGTGTATAATTAGATTTGAAAAAAAAAAATTCAAATTGATTGTTTAATGACGTTTCGGATTGTGCACTGTCGCTTCGATGAAATCAGATACTGTGGTCTCGATATATATTCGAGAAAATCAGATATCGTTTCTATGTCATCTTGAATGCACCAGATAACGCGAGTCATCGAAGACAAAAAAGGAAGCACTTCTTATTAGTCACGTTCGTGAAATGAACGAAATAATAAGGTGAACTGGAGTGGAAAGCTCCTGTGTTGGTCGACCACGCACTGTGAACGACCGAGCATCGCATTATGATAAGTACTAGTCATCGCTAATAAGCCTCTGTAACAACATACTTCCTCCTTTCAGTCTATTAACGCGTCAATGTAACGAGCTTCGAGTCTCCAATCACACGAATTTTTGATCGTCACATTTCACGATAATTACTTGATTACACTTTACGAAGCGTATCGATTCTTCGTTTCAACGAATAAATCTACTACTCATCGAACTATAGCGAACGATTAACAACTGAGCATTAAAATGACAAATGAAAACGCACTAGAGACGTGTAATTCAATTCGTGTACCTTCGGACGAAGATCGAGTCACAGGAAGGACAGTGTCCACAGCATTTAAAATACCATCACCGATCCAATCCGTAAGATTCCTCGATTTTTCCAGTTGAAGCTTCCATCGCTCCTGTATCACGGCAGGCTGCGTGATCTCCGTCGCCGTTAGCAAAGGAAGAAAGAACAATGGGTACAGCATCAGCATCCTTCTGTCTCATCTGACGATTTTCTTCACCACTTTTTTAATATCCTACAGCAAAGTCGTTAAAAAACGCGGCACGCACTTCTTAAAGAAAAAGAAGAAAAGACTAAAGGAGTTCAGTTTATCTCAATGAAATTCACGAGAAGGACAGACGACACTCGAACTGTAATTCACAATTCATCGGAAGATGAGACGATCGAAAAAAAAAACACACACACACACATAAACACACAAAAGCAAATGACGAGGAGACTATCGATAGACGATCTGTCCAGCTGGCAAATGAAATCTTAACTGACATTCGCCCTAGACCGGACCATTAGTTTATATAGGTGGAATGTGAAAAGCCCAGAGAAGGAGACCACCATCTAACTTGGTACTGACGCGTGACGAAGGATTCACTGTCCATTCCCGTCCACGTCCGTCTTTGTTCTCTCCAATCATTGGACGACGTTGAGGACGACTGGTCCCAGAACCATTTTCAGCGGAGGATGGATGTTCGATCGATCATCGCGGGAGTGTGCGCCGGAGTGTTCGATCGTTAATCAACTCGTTCGTTTCACACTCGAGTAATCGATCTGGATTGTTCGAGCGTAGTCCGAGCTTACTGGGACGAATCTTGTCAGAGTGGTGGCGACGCAAGGTGAAACGAAAACGATTGCGACCCGCGAAAGGAAACGTTCTGGGCAATCGTAAAAACCGATTTCGTTGAAGTACGGACACTTTGATTCAGAGAAAAGGATATTGTCGGTTGATTTGGATGGTGAAAATTTATTTTGGAGGGAATTGTTTAATATACCCGACTACGAGAGGATTTGTGTAAAATTTTCGAATTTTTGTTGGATATTTACGAAGGAATATTATTATGTTTGAGCACGCTTTGTTAATTACTTGATTATCACGTGTGAAAGGATCTATAACACGTAATCACGTAAGAAGAGGCGGTCATAAATTTTCACGACGCATCATGTTAAATCGCTGAGTAATCGGAAATAGAAAAATAACCGTGATTCCCGGCTGTAAAACACGATCTGGTTGACGCGTGGCGCGCGCTAGTAACAAATCTGTTAATTATCTTTCGTTGTTTATTTGTCGCTTGAATTGCGCGATTAATTTCTTACTCGCTGATACAAACGATGCAAACAATTACTCGATTGGAATTGTCCGAAGAAACTGAAAGATAAATCGAATCTTCTGACAATAATCGACCGTTCTGGTTATCGTACCGTTTCCGATAGTTTTTGTGGAAACATCTAGAATCAGGTCCGTATTCCTCGGTATTTAATCGCGAGGCAACAGGCAGACCGTTATATCTCTCTGAAAATAAAGCGGCGATATCGATCATTACAGCGACATGCAACGCTCGAAACAAAGAACGAAAGAGGATGATGACTATGATTTTGCAGGCCTAGACTTTTCGACCTCCCCTTTCTTTCATCTCTTCCTCCTTTTTGCCGTTTGTCCCGTTTCTCGCGCAATTATTCGCGTCACCGTGTTCACGCAGGAAGCTACGAAATTGCCCTTCGCTTCCTTGCGGAACGTTACAATGCATTTTCAAGTGGCACATGAATAGAACTGCTCCGACAACGTCTGTTTTCCTCGATTCCTACACACAATATCCCCATTTCTGCTCCGCTGGCCCTTTTCTGAGAGACTCTTCTGAAACGAGACTTCTGTGACAATTTTTATCCCACTTCTTCGTTTGGTCGAACGTTCAAAATTTGAAATTTTATTTCCACGGTTCTATCGTTCGATATATCAATGAACCAATAATCTCCTCTATATATATATCATTAACTGTTTATTTAATGGTATGCATTATAATATTTTTTAATGATAATTTTTATATCATTTTATATAAGAAATGAAGTGTATTTTTGGGAAATAATTGTAGTATAATATATTAACTATTAATTTTGATCCGTATTGCGTGAATAGATCATAGAGCAAGTCGTCTCAGATTGCGTGTATATTAGTGTCCATAAATACAATTTCTCAATATTAATTTTATAGCCTTGAATAATATAAAAATTCAAAATGTGAAAATATCATTATAATATACATACGTGTAAATTATGTGCAATAAACATATTAACAATATTATGCATAAATTGCCAACACATGTAATTGTTCTTATTGAAATCGAGTTCCTAGTTGTAAAAGTCATGTAATAGTTCCTAGTTCATATTTAAAAGTAAATTATATACGTATAAAAATTGTGTATTATTGTCAATACAGCCGTTTACAAACAATATCACTTTATTAAAAAAAAAAAAAAAA